TTCCTAAAGAACAGTGATAAAACTCAACTGCAGAAAGTGTTTCTAACGGTGGCAAAAACTGCTCTGCAAAACTTCCCTTTCTTTACAAATCTGCATTTTTCTCAGTGTACCAGAGAGATTATTCTGTTTTTATGAAACCAAGCTTCATCCAACAGTGCTCTACACTAGAGAGATTGTAATCTATGAAGAAAAAAGAAAACAAGTAATTGTGTAGTCGAAGGGAAGAGCATAAAAAAGCCTCTTTGTCCATCAGAAATGTGAAAAGAAGCAGCTAATAAAATTGTGTTTTCCCAGAATGCTTTTTCCCCATTGATCATGTAAGAACGCATCAACAATTTCATTAAGGGGAAAGGATGATGAAGGACATTCTTAAATTAGTGAACATTTGTGCTAGGAACAAATGAATTTTGCAATCCTGGAGATTCAGCAGGCGGGATAGGGGTTTTGAGAAGTCAGACTCAAGGAAAAGTGTTTCCGGTGAATCAGGACACTACCTGGTGTAATCAGGACTTGGCGCTGATCCTTCAGCTTGGTGCTTCCTGCTAGTGATGAGCCAGTGTTGTCATTAACACCCACCCCCAACGTTACACAATATATGCTTCTCTCAAGCATGACAGAATAAAATGCTCCTCTTTTTCAGTGGCAAGGTCAATCCTAGTAATATGACATTTTAATTTTTGATTATGAACTATTATTATCTATTAATTGATGCTTTTATTTATTTGTTTTAGAGACAAGGTCTTAGAGTCTCACTCTGTCACCCAGGCTGGAATACAGTGTCTTGATTACAATTCACTGCAGCCTTGAACTCTTGGCCTCCAGCGATCTTCCTGCCTCAGCCTCCCAAAGTGCTGGGATTATAGGCATGAGCCACTGCGCCAGGTCAGGAAGTCCTTGCTGCAGGACTAAGCATTTTAGGAAATGTGCATGATGCCTGAGCCCTCATGGGCAGAATTCTCTATTTTATTATTTAAGTGGAGGCTGCAGACCAGGCATCCAGGATGGTTTCAACTAATCAACTGTGGGGAGGTGACAATGTCACAACCTGGACCTATCACCCCCACATTTTGGTTCTCCCAGAAGCCTCATTTCTTCAGCTCATAGACCCTTGGCAGTCTACCAACATATCCTGTCTCCAAAATCAATCCTATCCTATGAACTTTAGAAATTTTTCACAACATAGAAATGCTATTTTATTGTTAGAATGGAATATGTAAACTTCTCTAGCAATGTCTCCAAAATGAAGATGAGTGTTCTTTTTTTGTAAGAAAATTCCATTATTCTGTCCTACAAAAATAGTCTTCACTTTTAAAAATATTCCCCTGTCTCCTCATTTCAACATTGACCAGCACATTCCTACCTATCCTTCAGATCTGTGAAGAAACCTTGATCCTCTGATTAGGTTAGTTCCCTTAGTCATGAGCCCTCACGACACCACCCATTGTAATTCTTTCCTGCTGTACTGTAAGCTGCTTGGGGTAAGGGACAGTGTCTCATGTGCCACTCTATCCTCAACAATCAGATTGATGTCTGGTACCTCTCGGGCTCTCAATAAATACTTAAGGAATATTGCTCAACGAACAACTTCAGTTTCCTTTTAATTCATGGTTACATTTACCCAAAATTGATAATATCCATAACCTTGACAAGAACACTGAGCTGTTTACTGATAGTCACACCTAATATTTGTATAGAATGTGCAGTTTGTAGGATCCTATTTTTTTCGTTATTTTATTTGATCCTCCCAATCACACTGTAAGGTAAGTAGGTTGGGCATTGCTATCCCTAGTTAAGGCAGGGGAAACAAGCTCAGACATCTGGCCACACCCCTGCAAGTAGTGAGCAAAGACTCACTTCTGGGCCTGTATTACTCCATGTGTCACCTTGGTGCCTAATGGTTAGGAAGTCCTTCCACCAGGGTTTTTCTCATTTACTCCAAGAAACCTGACTATACCCTTTTAATCCTGTTCATTTGCAATTGGGTCAATATTCTCTCTTTCCTCTCAATCAGTTCCACCAAACCACTGACCACAAAGAATTCAAATCAAAGGCCTGGAGACCCTCTAGCCCAGAATTCCACTCTGCTAAACATGTATTTCCCATTCACCCCACCCCCATCCCCAAATATATCTCGCCAATGTCAGTGTCCTTTTCTGACCTCACACCGATGCATGACACCACACCAGCGCATAAAGGGCCTCCAACACATTCTTTGTTGTGGGTTCACACCAGTTCTCCATCACAAAGTGAGCTGAGGGACCATCTATCATTAGAAAATCCCTCAGGAGTGTCAGCAAAAGGGACCCCTTTCATGACTTCAGGAGTGTCAGCAAAAGGGACCCCTTTCATGATCATCAGAAGGCCTTGGTGGCTGAATTGCCACTGATTAATATTGGTGTAGCCTTTGTCACCCCTGTCACTTGTTCATGCCATGTTACTATGCATTGGCATAGGTGTTACTGAAATACTCCTACAGTGTCTCATGGTTCCATTTCGTTCTATTTTAGTGAACTAAGCAAAAGAGGGCCAGGAGATGAGTAGCAAAACTCCTTAGTTTCTTTTATTTGACAACTGAGGTCTCAGCATGGGGAACTGCTGAGGACTATCGTGGTCTTTGGGTATTTGAGTTATTGTCACACCGAACTTAAGACATTGCCTTGTTTGTCAATTGCTGCTTTATGCAAGGCTTGGTTAGGATTGATTGACTTTAGTCTCTTTTTGTCTCTACTGAAAATTCCCCAGGTAGAGTCATTGCTCTCCATTGTGGTCTTTATAACCTGTAGCTTGTTGTTGCTGATGTTGGTCTCCCTCTGTTGCCCATGCTGGAGTATAGTGGCACCATCACAGTTTACCACAGCCTTAAATTGCTGGACTCAGGCAATCCTTATATTTCAGCCTCCCCAGTAGCTGGAACTCCAGGCATGTACCACCATGCCTGGCTCATTTAAAAAACTTTTTTGTAGAGATGAGGTCTTACTGTGTTGCCTAGGCTAGTTTCAAACTCCTGGGCTCAAGCAATCCTCCCTTCTTGGCCTCCCTAAGTGCTGGGATTACAGGCATGAGCCACCGCACCCAGCCTCCTATAGCTTTTATACCATCTAAATATCATAAAGTCCTATAGCAATACAGGATTCATGTTAGAGTTTGTCTCACTTCTGGGCTTCATATCCTTATTACACAGCATTGTCTGTAATATGCTGTCTTTGCAAAGAAGCTTATATTGCCTTTTTTTAAATTAAGAGACTTGGATTGGTCTATAATTTGCTAGCAATTTCAAGTATAGATTAAACTAGTTTTTTTAAACAATCATTAGCATATTGATTATATTTAATGTCTTGCACATAATTATAATTAGAACTCCAAAGAATTAAGTGAAACCTGCCCTTTCATAGGGACCCATTCTAATATTCATTAGTAAAGAATCATTAAAGGGCTGGGCGCAGTGGCTCAAGCCTGTAATCTCAGCACTTTGGGAGGCTGAGGCAAGAGGATTGCCTGAGTCCAGGGGTTTGAGACCAGCCTGGGCAACTTGGTGAGACTTCATCTCTACAATACATCAAAAAACTAGCCAGGTATGGTGGCACATACCTGTAGTTCCAGCTACTTTAAAGGCTGAGGCAGAGGGATCATCTGAGCTCAGCAGGTCAAGGCTACGGTGGCCATGAGCATGCCACTGCACTCCAGCCTGGATAACAGAGTGAAACTTCGACTCAAATAATAATAATAATAATAACAATTAAATACAATTACTTGGTCCCTAGAATGATTGGATATGGAGCACCAAGTTTGAAGAGAACCAACTCTCTTAGTAGTTCTGTGCTGCTATAACAGAATGCCTGTGACTGGGTAATTTATAACGATCAGAAATTGATTGACTCATAATTCTGGAAGCTGGGAAATCCAGGATCAAGGGGTGGCATCTGACAAGGGACTTCTTACTGTGTCATTCCATGGCAGAGGGTGGAAGAGTAAAGAGAGGGTCAGATAGCAAGAGCAAGAGGAGGGTGAATCATATTGAACCAGGATGAACAAAGTCCTTGGATAACAGCATTAATCTATTCATGATTTAAACACCTTGCAAAGGCCTTACCTCTGAATATCACCAGAATGTCGATTCAGTTTCAACATGAGTTTTGGAGGGGACAAACATTCAAACTGTAGTGCCAATTTACACTACCTTTTAAAGACTTACCATTACTTCTTATAGAAAGTAAAAATAACTGGGCTCGGTGGCTCAGCCTGTAATCCCACGCCTTTGGGAGGCTGAGGTGAGTGGATTGCCTGAGCCCGCGGGTTCGGAACCCGCCTGGGCAACTTGGTGAGACCTCATCTCCACAATAAATCAAAAATTAGCTGGGTGTGGTAGCGTGCGCCTGTAGTTCCAACTACTTGGAAGGCTGAGGCGGAAGGATCGCCGGAGCCCAGCAGGTCGAGGCTGCGGTGGCCGGGAGCGGCCACTGCACTCCAGTCTGGGCGACAGAGTGAGACTCCAACTCAAAAAAAAAAAAAAAGAAAGTAAAAATAAATAAGTAAATCAGCAGCAATCACTTTAGTTTGCCTTCTCCTTCCAACTCCCTTCACTCTGGGGAATTACAAATTAATACTTGTAGCCAGGCCGGGTTCGGTGGTTCAGCCTGTAATCCCAGCACTTTGGGAGGCCGAGGTGAGTGGATTGCCTGAGCCTACGGCTTCGAGACCCGCCTGGGCAACTTGATGAGACCTCATCGCTACAATAAATCAAAAAATTAGCTGGGCGTGGTAGCATGCTCCTGTAGTTCCAGCTACTTGGAAGGCTGAGGCGGAAGGATTGCCGGAGCCCAGCAGGTCAAGGCTGCAGTGGCCAGAAGCGGCCACTGCACTCCAGTCTGGGCAACAGAGTGAGACTCCATCTCAAAAAAAAAACAAAAAAAACTTGTAGCCATATAATGTGTGTATTATTAGTGGGGGATAAAAAGAACATTGCTCTGATAATGAACCTCACATTTCTCTTGCTTTCACAGTAATAAAAGATTAGTGGCCTTAGTGCCCATGCCCAGTGACCCTCCGTTCAATACCCGAAGAGCCTACACCAGTGAGGATGAAGCCTGGAAGTCATACTTGGAAAATCCCCTGACAGCGGCCACCAAGGCGATGATGAGTATTAATGGTGATGAGGACAGTGCTGCCGCCCTTGGCCTGCTCTATGACTACTACAAGGTAATTTGGTAGCCCTGCCTCCCTTCTTTTCCTGCCCTAGGGCCTTCCCTCGCTGGTGGGAAGAGCGGGCAGATTCTTCATCCTGGGCCAGGAAACTAATAGTATTTCTAAACTTGATATGGGATTCTGTGTCTTCCTGCTCTCATTGTCCCCCTAATCTCCCATCTTCAATGCTCAACTTCTCCACCCACCCAGGGGAAGTGTTCACTTGGAATAATTATTTCTTGTGTCCTTGTCCGCATGCATAAATATTATTTATTATTCTTGCTTGACATCTTATTACAAATTCCTCCTTGCTGCCATTTTTATGATTATAATTTTTGGTGAATGAAGTATATTATTATTATTATTTTGAGTCAGAGTCTTACTCTGTCTCCCAGGCTGGAGTGCAGACGCAGATCATGGATCACCGCAACCTTGATCTCCTGGGTTCAAGGGATCCTTCTACCTCAGCCTCCTGAGTAGCTGGAACTACAGGTGTGCACCATCATGCCTGGCTAATTTTTTATTTTTTGTAGAGACAAGGTCTCGCTGTGTTGCCTAAGATGGTTTTGAACTCCTGGGCTGAAGCAGTCTTATCGCTGTGGCCTCCCAGAGTGCTGTGATTAGAGGCATCAGCCATCGCACCCAGCCAAGTGTATTATATTGTGTGGCTGTATCATAATTTAGTTATTGCTCCATTGTTGAGCAATTAGGTTGCCTCTAGATATTTTAGTTTTATAAAAAACAGTCAGGGTTTCTAGATTTTTCAATTTTTAAAGGAAAATTTTGATGAATTCTTTTGTGGAAAACTTGTACAGCCATTTTATTTCTAATTTTGTTACACCTTGACTGTCTCCATTGTTTCAATGGGGACTGTATTTTTATTTTGAAGAACTCCTAAAGCAAAATAAATGTAAACCACTTACATTACAAAAACTGCCTGCCATACAGTTCTTAAAAATAGGAATATTTTAGTAACCAAACAAGAAACAATGGTATGTCTCAAGCATAAAGAACTATACCTTGTATTACCTTCTCCCTTTGAGTCCTTGAAGTGTAAATAATCGACACGTATTTGCTGAATGAGAAGATTTATTGCCTACCTTGATTGATTGTAAACACCTTTGTCCTATGTCAAGAAGTGGCACAAAGGTGAAGAATGGTTGTGTTTATTGTGCTGGTTGGGCACAGTGTACTCTTATTTTAGAGTAAGAACTGATCCTACCTCTCCTTCTCCTTCCATCTTGGGAAAATCAGAGCTTTGGGCAAAATTACTGAGGAGGGACAATCTTCCTTTTAGTAATCATCAGTTTCTACCTCTTCCTACTTCCAGTTTCCTTCCAGCAGCGTCGTCGCTTTCCTAAACTAGGTTTGTCAGGTTTTCAAAAGATCTCCCACCATCACCACCTCTGGCATTGTCTCCACTTTTCAGGCAAAGCTTTCTAAAATTATTCATTCCTTTTCCAACTTCTCTTATTAAAACACCCAGGAGGACTCTCTCCTTGGGGAGATGTATGAGAACAAAACCAGGTCTTAGATCTAAGATGGAGAGCAGGGTGTGAATGACAGGTGTGAGTGACTGACAGGTAGGCCCATTCAAGGTTTTTTAAATGAGGATATTGTTGACTCAGATAAACACATCACTTATTGTTAGAAAGTGCTGGAAAAATATTTGAAGGGCATTCTGTTTTTTTGGTACCCTTGCCAGTGTAGGCTGTCTTTTTCGTTTATCAAGAGAGCAAGAATTAGCAGATTTTAACTGTCCTCTTAGGGAGTTGTAGAACTCCCAACACTGAAATAGCAAGAAGGGCCTTAACTTTGGGGAACTTGGGCTCCAGATGAAAGGATGTTTTAGGGCCTAAACTATATTTCATGTAAGGAGGGCTGTTTTCTCTATAGTGAAGGGATAACACCTGAAAAAAATAAGCCTGAAAACCCAAATGGTTTTATGGTAGGTGTTTTTTTTCCTTCTTCTTTTCTGGCTGTGGTGTTTTATATTTTTCATTCTTTCTGACTGAGGATCTCATTTGAAAAACACAAGGATACATTCTCAGTGTTTTGGAGTGAGCAATTTCAAAATTCATTGAGGATGGTTCAGAAGCACAGAATTCATCCAATTAGACTACATGGTATTCTAGGCCACTTTTTAAGTTTTAATTTTTTTTTTGTCTCATCCTTAGAAATTGAAAATTGATTTTTCTTTATGATAAAAAAGTAGTCAAAACTTGACAGTTTTATGAATCTTTAAAATCTATAAACACATAACTAAAGTGACTCTGATTTTCATTATTCGGGTCATTACAACTTCTTTTTGTGACTTTTATAATGTTAAATTAATATAGCAATAATAGTTTTTATAAGGCTTTGAATAAACAAATTGATTGTATTTAAAAGAAATATATATATTGTTATTTAAAAATAGATTTAATTTTGTTATTGTGAAATTGAGATAATTTCATATATTTGTATTTGATGACAATACTTTGTTTTAGTGAAAAAAAGAAGCATACTCTGAAACAAACACAATTAGTAGCTGTTGAAAGCAATATATTTTATTTCCCACAAGTTCAAAGGATAATTAAGTGTCAGTAAATACGGAAAATTAAGTATTAGCAAATGTGGTACCTAGTTTACCTCTCTTCTTGCAAATTTGAAAGTTGAAATATTGCTTTCTGTAATATTTTGAGATGCAGGGTAGAGAGTTTACAGAAAACTCAAGTTGTAGCCAAGTCTAGAGCTCTTTCTGTTGAATTTCCAAGATTGTATAGAAAGGGTCACATGGCTCCTTTCATTTTACAAAAGCTTTGCTGTATTTTTGCTTGAAACATTTTAATGTCTGTGGAGAGAATTCGTCTTGTTTCCAAAAACGCTATGTTCAAATGATCACTTTGAGGCCCATTTCAGTTTTCAGGATGTTCACAGCAAATATATGCTGGTGTTAAAGTTGTGACATAGTTAAATATCCTTTGAGGGTAGACTTTTTTTCTGTAGTAGAGTGTTAATGAAAAAGAAAAGTCATTCTGTTTTTTTTTTTTTTTTTAGTATAAACTTTGGGAAGTTAAATTATTGTAACAACTGCTATCACATTATTGTTTAAATTTTATAGACTTTTTAAGGTTTCTTTAGAAGTGTGAATTGGTTCTTTTTGTCAAAGACATCATTTTCCCCCACTTTTGAGGTTGGAACACATCACCCCTGAGGGGCTCTGTCCAGAGAGAGGAGTTCACCTGACATAAGCAAGCACTCAAGAAATTTACAGGCCTGCCCTCTTGTCCTTGGAAGCTGGCAAAGGCATATCTTTGTATATTACGCTATACATTTCAAGGTCTTTTCACCTACATTTGTTAACTGTCACCACACGGTCATTGCAGTGAAGCCCATCAGATTTTGGTTTTTGGTTTTTGGTTTTTGTTGGAGACTCAGTCACCCAGATAAGGTTGCAGTGGTACCCTCATGGTCACTGCAGCCTCAACCTGCTAGGCTCAGCCTTCCAAGCAGCTGGAACTACAGGTGTGTGCCACCACACCTGGCTAATATTTTTGATTTATTGTAGAGATGAGGTCTCACCATGTTGCCCAGGCTGGTCTTGAACTCCTGGGCCCAGGCAATCCTCTCACCTCTGCCTTCCACTATCAGGTTTTAAGTTTCATAGTTTAGGCAGCTCAGTGGGATTTATCCAAGGTCACAGGATAATCCTGTATGTTTTCTAACATCCATTGTATTACAAATATCCACCATTTAAAAAATACTCCTTTTTAAACCCATTTAAATTTTTTAAAAATAAACATTTGAAGCTTCATATGTTGTTTACTAAGTAAATGATGTTTGGTTTTATTTTGCTTTTTTGAAACCCAAATATGTAGACTCCCTCTTAACTTAGGGGCTCACATCCTAGCCCCGTTCCCTATATCCAGTTTAAGATACTTACCAATAGCAACTCTAAAGTCATATAACTTTCCATTAATTTTAGGCATGATGGAAAAGCATGACAGATTTAATTAGCTAGATATTTTAAAAAGTGGTGTGACTTACTTTATCAAAACTTTATTTTTCTCTTGAGAGAGCTGGTTTATAATTATCTAGTTCCAGCTGTAGTAAAAACAGTCTTCCCTGGTGAGTTGGTTCCTGTCAGTTCTGCTGATCTTGTACTGCTGGAGATCAGCTTACTGACTGATTTGTTTGGCCATCCATCCATCCATCCATCCATCCATCCATCCATCCATCCATCCATCCATCCATCCAACAAATATTCACTAATTAGCTATGACTCCTAGCAATGATGATAGATATTATGGGGAGGTATTACATTTCCAAAGGCAGATGAGACCCAGTTCAACACCTCAGAGAGGTCATTGGGAGTTGCAGTCCAGGACAAATATGGTCGTATAAAGCTGTAAGCATAGTGCATGCAGGTGAGTGCTGTAAAAGGGATGTGCTCCAAGAGCATTGAGTTGCTTGACAATCTCCCAGAGAACTGACAGGCTTTTCAGAGGAAGAAAAGTCTACTCTACCACAGAGGAAGATCTGCCAGGTAGACAGACAAGAGAAGAGCATTTCAGGCAAAGGGAACAGGAGATGAGAAACCATGAGAAATGTATCTCAGCTAGCACTCAGTGGAATCTGAGTAATCAGCATGAAGTGGGAAGGATTCTTTTCTTAAATCAGCTTTTCTATTTTTCAGACTTATTGAGATATAATTGACAAATAAGAATTTTATACTACTTGATGTTCTGACATATCAGCTGTTAATTCTAAGTTTGCACAAATTCATCAAAGAAAATGCAGGAAAGTTTGAAAAAGAAAATGAAATGTCTGTAACCCTTTAATCATAATATTTGATATCCTTTCCTCTAATTTTGAAGGATTTTGAACCTAGGCAACATAGGTTGCAGAAATTAACCACATACCTTGCAGCACCAGCAATAGAAGTAGGTTGGGAGCAGACAGTTCAGCGGCCAAGTCCATTGCAATTGTCCAGATGAAGAAATGATGAAGACCTGATGGGGTGGGGAGGAATGCCCCAGATGAGCATTTGTGAGGATTCTCCCTAACTCAGCCACCAAAGCAAGCACTAGCTAGAGACAAGCAATGTGTTCACGTAGTATTGTTTGAATAAAAGCTAGCAACTGTGTGTGTATGTGTGTGTGTGTGTGTGTGTGTGTGTGTGTGTGTGAGAGAGAGAGAGAGAGAGAGAGAGAGAGAGAGAGAGAGAGAGAGTTGGTGGGGAGCCCCTAACTCAGGGCAAGATGTCTCAGATGATTCCTGGGTTAATCAAGGTAGGAAGAACAAAGGAAAGACTTTGAGGAGAAAGATAATGATATGTTGAGTCTAATGTGCTTGTAGGATGTCCAGGTAGGGATGATAGATGGTAACGTGGGTCTAGAACTCAAGAGAAGTGTTCAGAGGTTTCGGTTTTCTAAAGACCGTCTGGGTAAAGCCAAAGATAAACATAGTTCAGAGCAGCTCAGATTGGAGCAAACGCACAGGTTAGTAACCACCTTTATGGCATTGTGCCCAACACTCTAACATTATAGACTTTTCTCTACAGCTGTCTGCTCAGAGCTCATATCGATGACTCTTGGCAACAAAAACATTCACTGCCATGCATCTGTGGGAGTTGCTAACATGTCTTAGTATTTAGAATCCCCATTTCTTCTATTTATTTGATTCTGCCTTTTCCTGACCATTTTAATTGATTGATTGATTCTTTCCATCAGTATTTAGGAAGGGTCTACTACATTTCAGGCACTTGGGACATAACCATGGGCAAGATAGACATTCATGGAGATTGTAGTCTTACCATGGACACAGACATTTAGATGGTTCTCAAAGTAGGGTCAGGAGTTAGTCTGGAAAAAGCATAGGGGGTGGTGGCGGGAGGATAGGGGACAGAGGGACACATTCTATGGAGAGGACCCTTGTGTGATGGCTTTGTGGTGACGGGGACCATTGTATGGTCACAGATACAGTGCAACCCAAGCATGGTAAGCAGGGGTGGGGGTTGATCATATTGAGGCAGGAGACTTTTTGGAGGCTACGTGCCTGGGAATAATAGGAAGCATTGAAGAGATTTAAATAGCAGCACCGTGAGACCACTCTGGATCTTCTTGATGGATCCAGAAATAATTTGTGGGAATTAAATGAAGGAGAGGAGAGATCAGTTAGGGGCTGATGGGGCAGCCCAGGCAAGAGACGCTGGCCAGCTCAACCTGGAGGCCGGCAGTGGATGGATTTCAGAGACACGGGGGACTTTGTGCTGCCTGGTTGGAAGGGGAGAGGGTGAGGATGCTTGGCAGTCAAGGAGACCATAAAGTAAATCTTCTGCCCCTGGTCCAAGGCCCTTCCTTGTCTGGCTTTTGCTTATCTCTGAAGCCACATCTCCTGTTATTCCCTGTGCTAGCTGTGTCTTCCTTGTCCTGTAATACCCCACACCCTTTTTCTGTGCAGTTCCCACAACTAGAAAGTCTTCTCCACCCACTAGATCCATTTCTACCCTTGGCGTAACTCCTCTGGGGGGCTCTGTCCTCTAGGTTTCTGGAGTACCCTGGGCATAACTCAGTTCTACCTATCACTGGGTATTGCATTTTGTCAACACTCTAAGGAATACCTATATAGTACTGCATTTTAGGGCAGAAGCCAGGTGCCCTCTGGTGGGTGGACTGTGTGATAAGGCCCAAGGCACAGCAGGCAGAACTGGGGAGACATGATCTTCTTAAATTCTACTTCCTCCTTACCACCTTTTGAGAAGAATGTAGTAAGAATTCCACAATTCCATAATGCACCATTTTGACCATTTAAAGTGCATGGTTCTATGGCATAAAGTATATACAAATTGTTGTGCAGCCATCACCACCATCTACCTCCAGGACATTTTTTTTCTCCCCTGAATGGAAACTCTGCATCCATTATATGACGACTCCCTTTCCCCTTCTTCCCAACCCCTGGTCATTGCTATTCTACCTCCTGTCTCTATGACATTATTCAAGGTACCTCACGTAAGTGGAGTCACACAATATTTCTACTTTTGCATCTGGTTTATTTTATTTAGCATAATGTCTTCAAGTTCCCTCCATATTATAGCATGTATCAGAATTTCAGCTTTTAAGCCTGAATCATATTCCATTGTATGGATATGCCATGTTTTGTTTATTCACTCATCTGTCGACAGACACTTGGGTGGCTTCCTCCTTTGGGCTATTGTGACTAATGCTGCAGTGAACATGGGTGTACTAGGTATTGAAATGTTATGTTTACCTGTCTTCAACAGATGATAGGAACTATGCTTTATTCATCTATCTAGCTTTTGGCAATGCCTGGTATGGTGTAGACTTTCAAAGTTGATATGAATGATTAACAATTGATTTATTTTATTTTTATTGTTTTTATTCAACAAATATAAAGTACCAGACACTCCAAGTACTTTTTAAAAAGTAGCCCATTATTTTACTAAAAACCTGTGTGGTATAGAATTAGCACGGTACCCATTTTACAGATGAAGAAAGTGGGACAGAGTTTAGTGAATAGTTGAGCTGAGAGTTGAACTCAGGCAAGGAGGCTCCAGGTCTGGACTGTTGACCTCTTTGCTCTATCTCCTCCCCAGTCAGCTGTCTGGGTTGATGTACATATTTGGGTGATTGGAAACAGCAGGCAGAATTGCTAGACGCGTCCAGTAAAGGGGCTTCTCAAGAATTGTTTTCATCTTAAAAGAGCAAAAGCTCCATTTTGGGTGCAAAGGAGTTTGACTGGAAGGAAAATCTTGACATATAACAAAAAACCAAAAATGCACAAATAAAAAATCCAACCAGCCAAATATATCCAAACCTGCTTATTCATGTGTTTGAAAACTGTGATGGAAGAAAGGACCCATGATGCACCAGGGCGATTAGATTATGCCCAGGGACATAGCAGGTGGGGTGACCTTTCTCTCAAATAGCACTTTTGCAATAATCTTGCAGGTAATAGTTGGCATTAAGATGCTTAAGACAATAATGAAAGGATATTAGAAAAAATATTGTGGAAGCAAGTCCACAAGCTGCGTAGGGAGATGGTTAAAGGGGTCATCCGGGGATATGTAATGCTTGTTCTCTCACTGACTGACAGTGCAACCCCATGCCCAGATCCCCCAACATGTCAGCACCTGAAGTCCCTCATCAGAGAGAGGGTACATCTTTTTTCCTTAATGTGACACTTGTCACTCTTGTAACTCCATGATGTTTTCTGTTTGCTCAAAGTCACCCATGTCTAGATTCACTTCTTATCAAATTGATCTTCTCTCCTCAGCCACACTCAAGATGATGGGAGCTTAGGAGGCACCCTAGGTCCAGGAAGAGTCACCTGGCCAGTAGGGAGCAGCCAAATCATGTCTGTCATCACCCCTTTATCTCTGGCTCCACTGTCAATGTCACTCAGGCTACTCACCTTTCACCATCTCCTGGTGATAGCAAGCTTTCCACCTTTTCCTGGAGAATGTTTCATTTTGGTTTCTTTGCTTATCCTGGTGTCCAGCTCTGAACATGGTCACGGTTGCAATCTACAAGTATGTATGTGTCATGATGGTTGTTGATGCTTCCAGGTTCCTCGAGACAAGAGGCTGCTGTCTGTAAGCAAAGCAAGTGACAGCCAAGAAGACCAGGACAAAAGGTATGTGTTTGTAAAGGAATATACCTGGCTTCCCAAGCAACTCTTATTGTATGATTTTTGAAAACAACGATATTAAACTGTAAGTTTTATTCTTGAGAGAAGATGGGTCACAAAGCTTAGCCTCCTCTATTCATCTTTTGGAGTCTGGACCAAAGTTGGATCTCTCAAGGGGGAGAACACATTTCCTTTTTGTTGATTGTGCATCCAAAGGGTCCTTGGCAGGCTTTTCACAAACCTCTTCCAAGGAGACTTAAAATCCTGAGTTAGAGGTGAGATGCTGACGAGGTAGCCCACTGCTGGGATTGCCTTTTCTGATCAATCCTAGGGCTTTATAACTGAGTCAGGCCCTTGAGGGAGTGAGACACCTGCAGGATTGCTTTTGATGAGTCAGGAGAGGAAGGAGGTTGGGCTTTTTCTCAGCCAAGGGAGGGAGCTGGTGGAGGGCCACCACTGCCAAGGTGCAGGGGCAGGACTGATGTAGGATGTCCTTGTGGGACATCCCTTTTCTACTCTTCTGAATTAAGAACCAGGTGAGAAGCAAGACAGGCCAAATACATTGAGATTTAAAAGGAATGACTCCATGCAGTGACTCATGCCTATAATCCCAGCTCTTTGGGAGGCGGAGGAGGGAGGATTGCTTGAGCCCAGGAGTTTAAGATCAGACTGTGCAACATAGGAAGACCTCATCCCTACAAAAAAAAAACAACAAAATAAGCTGAGTGTAGTGGCACCCACCTATAGTCCCAGCTACTTGAGAGGCGGAGGCGGGAGGATCACCTGAGCTCAGGAGGTTAATGTTGCAGTGAGTCATGATGGTGCCACTGCACTCCAGCCTGAGTGACAGAGTGAGAACCCCAACTCAGAAAAAAAAAGTTTTATTTGTGATGAAAGCAACTGCAGAATGTGACTTGGAATCTGCAGCTTGTAACATTTAGGTCCTGACTTAAATCCGTCCACTCATCCTGTCCCAGGCAGGAGGACTGTGCACAGCAGGACTGACTGGAGGGAGGGCCCCCTCTCATTGGCCACGATGATCTAGACAAAAAGAGGGGATCAGAAGGGACTGAATCGCTCTTCTCAGTTCAGCTACTTCTCTCAAACTCACCCATCAAAAATCTCTTCCCCTGCAGTGAGGGGGGAAGAAACCAGTTTTTCTATGGGAGGTTCTTTCATATGGAAATACAAAGCCAGGAGGAATAAAAACCGTGCTAGCACGTATGTCAGTACCTGGCCTTGAAAGGAGCTACTTGTAACATGATGATCTTGTACTGTGACTAGAAGGGGATGGGCACTTTACCAGTCAGCAGGCATAGACTGTACAGCACACCCAGGGTACCGCCCAGCAGTAGATAAAGGCTGTGTGCATCTGATTCCCTGTTCTACCAGGGATCTTCTGAAGCTCCATGCTGCCCTGGAGTCCTGGAACCTCCTTGGCAAGAGTGATGACACAGAGAAAGAGTCTGATACTGTTTTTTGTTTTTGTTTTTCGAGTCAGAGTCTCACTCTGTTGCCCAGGCTGGAGTGCAGTGACATGCTCACAGCAACGGCAGCCTCGACTTGCTGGGTTCAGGTGATCCTTTCCCCTCAGCCTTTTGGAACTACAGGTGTGTACCACCACACCCAGCTAATATTTTGATTCATTGTAGAGGCAAAGTCTTGCCAAGTTGCCCAGGCTGGTCTCAAACTCATGGACTCAGGCAATCCTCTCACCTCGGCCTCCCAAAGTGCTGGGATTATAGGAGTGAGCCACCACACCTGGCCGAGTCTGGCACTTTTTTTTTTTTTTTTGAGTTGGAGTCTCACTCTGTTGCCCTCAACCTGCTGGGCTGTGGCGATCCTTCTGCCTCAGCCTCCCGAGTAGCCGGAATTACAGGCGCACACTACCATACCCGGCTAATTTTTTTTTTATTTATTGTAGAGATGAGGTCTCGCCTGCCCAGGCGGGTCTCGAACCCGCGGGCTCAGGCAATCCACTCACCTCAACCTCCCAAAGGCGTGGGATTACAGGCTGAGCCAACGAGCCCGGCAGAGTCTGGCACTTTTTAAGTCCTGTAACTTTCCCTCCATCCAGCCAGTTTTACTGAGCTATGCATATGCTGTCTGCTAAGTCCTATACCAGAAATTATAATGGGGTCAGGAAAAAACAAGTCTAAACTGTGTGTTCAGTCTGCATTATACATAATAGACATGATAGGCCTTTTTTGTTGTTGTTAACGCATCTTTTAGAACAGCATTACAAAGTGACAGCCACTCCTTGTGTTTTAGTGGTTATTTTGTGATTTCCACAGAACTGAGGTGAGTGTATTGCCTGAGCCTGCGGGTTCGAGACCCGCCTGGACAACTTGGTGAGACTTCATCTCTACAATAAATCAAAAATTAGCCAGACGTGGTAGCGCACATCTGTAGTTCCAGCTACTTGGAAGGCTGAGGCAGAAGGATTGCCGGAGTCCAGCAGGTCGAGGCTGCGGTGGCCGGGAGCGGCCACTGCACTCCAGTCTGGGCGACAGAGTGAGACTCCAACTCAAAAAAAAAAAAAAAAATACTGGTAGTGAAGTGTATACCACCTTGTTTAGACTAATTATATCTTAGACTTCTCATTGAATGTAATTTGGAAGGATATTATGGTGACCTGCAGTGTATTTATAAATTAAGGTGCCATGTGCTAACATGGTATCATTACATGGTTTGTATGCAAAGATTGCTGCTTGAAAAATAGTAAACCTTCAATGACATGATCTACATTTTGTAAAAAGTGCATTAAATGAATTGCATTTTTTCTTATAATATTGGGTTCGATTTTAAATTCTATTGTAGGTAAGTCAGTGTCTCGGTAATTCTTACTTTGTTCTAATTATCCATCTTTTGAGTGTCTTAGTGAGGGTCCCTTCTGTTTTATAAGAGCATACCTCCACATTTAGGGTGGTGGGTGGTAAGTCTGTTATTTTCTGATGGTATGGGAATAACAATTTGACTAGATTCTTACACTTCTATAGCTTGCTTATTTATTTGTTTATAAGAACACCAAAAAATATTTTGACTTGTGTTCTTTGCTTATAATTTATGTTTTGCATGAACTTAATTAGGAAATTTTGTCCCAAATGAACTCTAGCTTTAGAGAAGTTGGTTAGCTTTGGATATTTTGGCAATGGCAATAAGACTATGTGTGCAAAGCCCAGAGGGAACACTGGGTAATTGCTTTGTAGCCAGTCAGTGTAGACTGATCGTATTTCTCCCAACCTGTACAAGTATTCAGGGTCTGGGAGGAAATGAGTTTGGGAAATTCTGAGTTTTGATTAAACAGGTGAAGGAAGGCTGGAGAGATCTCCTGTGACTCTCTCAGGGTGGTCTTGTTATGGAAATTTTTTTGTTTGCTTTTTAATACTGATTTTATCATGGACTCTCTCTTTTTTTTAGGAACATCTATTAACATTCCCTGAGGTGTTCTAAACAATGGAGTTTAGGAAAGGCTAATTAATGTAAATGGTGTCTGGCCCTTGGCATCCCCTAGCTAACTGGATTCAGATTAAACATCTTTTCTCAATGTTCACTGTGTCTTCTATACAGGTTCACTCTATTGGTTTGACCATGAAAACAGGTCATTACTTAAGGCCAGAAAGTTTGTAGACTTGTGATTTTATTCCTTAGGGGATTGTTTTCTAGAACTGTTTCTACAGATCTGTGACAGACTCAGGGAAGTTTAGATATTTTTTGTGGCTTCGGTCATGTAGGGCCGTTTTTGTTTGTTTTTGTTTTTGTTTTTTTAATTTTTAATTTTAAAGATGTGGGGTACAATTCAGAATTAAGTATACAAATGTTCATTATGCAGGTACCCTAGCTGATGAGGTGTGCCCCCCCTCACAGAATCCTACTACTGCCAATGCCAATCCCATCCCCCCCGCCCCGCCGACAATTTCCCACTACTGACAAGCCTTTTCTTATAGTGTTCAAGATCCACTTATTAGTGAGAACATGTGATACTCAGTTCTTTGTTTCTGTGTTAGATCATTCAGTATTATAGACTCTAAATTTATCCACGTTCCTGGAAATTTCATAATTTTGTCCTTCTTACTGCCGCGTAATATTCCATCATGTATATGTACCACATTTTTTTAATCCAGTCCTCTTTTGATGGGTAGCACGGTTGGTTCCATGTTTTTGCTATTGTGAACAATGCTGCAATAAACAAGGGTGTTCAGGTATCTTTTTTATACAGTGATGTGGGTTCCTCCAGGCATATTCCCAGTAGGGGGATTACAGGGTTGTTTGGAAGGTCCATTTTGAGACCTTCTAGGAATCACCAAACTGTTTTTCATGTGAGGCCATTTTTTCCCTCAAACTTCACTTTGAAGTTTCATCTGAAAAATCAAAGGTAAAAATATCAAGTCCTGCTTGGTAACTAGGCAAGCTCAGAGGCTGGTGAACTTCTTTCTTTACACAGGAGAGTCAGGGGTTGCCAGTTATTGGAAGAACTTATTTCATTAAAATATTTCTGTCAATGAGAGATGTCAGTAAGTACCTGCAGGCACATGCTAGATAAAACAACAATGAACAAACAAAACCCCAAATATCAGAGATAGAAATTCATACAAAACTTGACATTCTCTCCATATTATTTAGAGTAATCTATATACAAGTGAGAGGTGGCCCTGACCAGAGGACTTTGCTAGTAAAATCATTTTGCTGTCAATAATAATTTTCCACTAATGAGTTCCCCTTTGTTTTTGGTCTATCGCAGAATCCTTTTTTTGTTTTTCCTCTGGAGTCAGGATCTTACTCTGTCACCCAGAGTGGAGTGCAGTGGCACAATCATGGTTCACCCCAGCCTCCATACTCCTGGGCTTAGGTGATCCTTCCGCCTCAGCCTCTGAAGTAACTGGGACTAAAGGCACACACCACTACACCCAGCTAGTTTATTTTTTTGTAGAGATGAGGTCTTGCTGTGTTGCCCAGGCTAGTCTTGAACTCCTGAGCTCAAGTCATCCTCCCACCTCAGCCTTTGATTATAGGTGTGAGCCACTGCGCCTGGTCTTCTCCCAGAATTATTTCGTACAAATGAAAGTATTTCATTCTAGTCTGGCAATAATTAATTTTCTAAACCCTTTCCTTTCTCTCTGTATCAGCCAGGAGGTCTGAGAGCTGAAGGATCTTGTTTTACATAAGCCATGTTATGTCACCCTCTTAGGCCTCAAACGGAATTCAAAGCTAAGGATATCAGGGAGCTCATGTTATTTCTCAATTTGGTGAAAATACCTTAGTGGTAAATTCTCATTACCTTTTTTTTTCTTTAAGGCATTTAGCTCAGAGAATGGAGAAAAATATTCTCCCCAGCCCCTTCCTTCAAACTTCCTTGTTTTTTTCTCCTCCTGCTATTTTTGGTATAGTTTAAAACTTTTGAAAGTTTTCAAACATATACAGAAGTACAGAGGGCAGTATAAGGAACCCTAAATACCCATCCCATTCTCCAGTTTTGCAGTGATCATTTTTTGTCATATCTGCTTATGTCCACATTTCTCTCTTTCCCTTCTTTTCGTTTTATAATTGTTAACAGCATTTAAAATAAATCCCTGTTATCATGCCAATTCATCTCTAACTACTTCTAATTTGTATCTCTAAAAAACAAGGATATTTTATTACAGGAGCTCAAAATCATTATCACCCCAAACTAAATTAGTAATCCTTCCTTAATATTACTCATTCCCACTTCATATTCAGTTGTCTCAAAGCTCCCATTAACTCATAAATGCCTTTTTGGATAGTTCAGGTCAAGATTCAAATAAGATCTACTCACTACATTTGGTTATTATGACTTTTAAATCTCTTTTAATCTAGAACCTTCCTCCTACCCTTTCTCCTTTTTTTCATGGTGTGCATTCTAGTTTATCTGACTGCTTCTTTTTGATGTTGTTTAAGTCATTCCTTTTTTTTTTTTTTTGACTCAGGGTTTCACTCTGTTGCCCGGGCTGGAGTGCAGTGGCAGGATCCCAGCTCACCACAGCCCTGGCCTCCTGGGCTCGGGGATCCTTCCTCCTTAGCCTTCTGAGTAGCTGGAATTACAGGCACATGCCACTACATCTGGCTAATGTTTTGATTTTTTTTTTTTTTTGGTGGAGATAAGGTCTCGCTATGTTGTCTAAGCTGGTCTTGAACTCCTAGATTCAAGCAGTCCTCTCGCCTTGGCATCCCAAAGTGCTGGGATTACAAGCGTGAACCACTGGTGTCCAGTCTGTCATTCTTTCAGCTCTTGTATTTCCTGAGAGATGAAAGTCAGGTGTAAAAATTTCATTGGATTTAGCATCAAATTTTTGTTTAAATGATCTTTGCAGTAGGCTGAGGACATGACATTGCATAGTACCAAGGTGCACACATGACTGCTGTCCTACTTGTAGTGATGCAAAAATCCATTGTATTCCACTGTGAAGTTCACTGTCCTCCTTCCCCCAATAGCATCAGCATCCACTGATTAATGCCTGCACTGGTTATTATTTATTTATTTTTTATTTTTTTGAGTTGGAGTTTCACTCTGTTGCCCAGACTGGAGTGCAGTGGCCACTCCCGGCCACCGCAGCCTCAACCTGCTGGGCTCCGGCCATCCTTCTGCCTCAGCCTTCCGAGTAGCCGGAATTACAGGCGCGCGCTACCACGCCCGGCTAATTTTCTGATTTTATTGTAGAGATGAGGTCTCGCCTGCCCAGGCGGGTCTCGAACCCGCGGGCTCAGGCAATCCACTCACCTCAGCCTCCCAAAGGCGCGGGATTACAGGCTGAGCCACCGAGCCCGGCTGCACTGGTTATTTTATTAGGCATTGCCAAGTGGTGCTTTTTTCTAATTCTATCCTGTTGGGGGGTTGGGTTTGAACACACAGAAATTGTCTTGGCACCACTGAAGCCCAGAGCAATTTGAGTGGAGGAGAAAACCGAGTGCAAGTCCTAAAGACAGTCCCAGTGAACCTCTCCCTCAATCAAGACCACCTGGAGAACTCCAAGCGGGAACAGTACAGCGCCAGCATCCCTGAGAGCCCCGCCATCATCCCAGTGTCAGGAATCACCGTGGTGAAGTCTGAAGACTTCACGCCAGTTTTCATGGCCCCACCTGGGCACTATCCCCGGGGCGATGGAGAGGAGCAACGAGTGGTGATCTTTGAGCAGTCTCAGTATGACGTGTCCTCCATAGCCACCCACAGCGCCTATCTCAAGGACGACCAACGCAGCACCCCGGACAGCACCTACAGCGAGAGCTTCAAGGAAGCAGCCACAGAGGTGAGTCGGCAGCCGGACCCAAATCCAGCAACCCTCCTAATTTTTTTTCCTATTTTCTTTTTAAATGGATAGACAATTAAGCTTTTTTGTTGTTGTTGTTGTTGTTGTTGTTTTGTTTTTGTTTTTGTTTTTGTTTTTGAGCCAGGGTCTTGCTCTGCCCAGGCTGGAGTCTTCACTGCAGCCTCAATCTCCTGGGCTAAGCAGTCTTCCCCCCTCAGCCTCCCAAGTAGCTGGGACTATGGGTTCACACCCCTATGCCAGCTTATTTATTTTTTTGTAGGGATGAAGGTCTTGCTATGTTGCCCAGGATGGTCTCGAACTCCTAGGCTCAAGCGATCCTCCTGCCCAACCTCCCAAAGTGCAAGAATTACAGACGTGAGCTATCACATTCGGCCATAGTTTTGCCTTTTCTAAAATTTCATATAAATGGAGTGATAGGGTCTATAATCTCCTATGTTGTCTTTTTTTGAGTGGCATGTTTTTGAGATTTCATTTATGGTATCGCTTGTATTAACAGCTTTTTTTTTTTTAATTGCTGAGTAGTATTCCATGGTAAGTATGAATCCTGATTTATATATTCACCCATTGGTGGACATTTGATTGCTTCCAATTTTGGTCCATTATAAATAATGCTGCATGAACATTCATGTATACATTTTAATTTGGGCATATGCTTTCATTTCTCTTTGGTAAATACCCAGGCCTGACATTGCTGGACCATGCAGTCAGTGTGTGTTTAACTTTCTAAGCTTCACCAGCCAGTGCTTCAAAGTGGCTGTACCATTTTCATTCCCACCAGCAATGTGTGAGGATTCCTGTTTTCCACACTCTAGCCAAAACTTTCTGTTGTCAGTCTTTTTAACTTTAGTTCTTAGCCAGGTACAGTGGCTCACACCCCCGTAACCCCAGCACTCTGGGAAGCCAAGGCAGGAAGATTGCTTGAGCTCAGGCATTTGAGACCAGCCTAGGTGACATAGCAAGATCCATCTCTATAATATATAAATAAGCTGGGTACGGTGGTACACAACTATAGTCCCAGCTACTCAGGAGGCTGAGGCGGGAGGATCGCCTGGGCCCAGGAATTTGCGGCTGTGGTGAGCCATGATCGTGCCACTGCACTCCAGCTTGGGCAACAGAGTGAGACCCTGCCTCATTAAAAAAAAAAAAAGTTTACCTCTCTGAGTGGCTATGTGGTGGTGTCTCATGGTGGTTTGAGTTTGCATTTCTCTGTGTTTAGTGATGTGGAGCATCATTTCATGGACTTATTTGACCCTTCCTATAACTTTTTTGGTTTTTTTTGAGTTGGAGTCTCACTCCGTCACCCAGACTGGAGTGCAGTGGCATGCTCCCGGCCACCGCAGCCTCGACCTGCTGGGCTCCAGCGATCCTTCCACCTCAGCCTTCCAAGTAGCTGCAACTACAGGCACGTGCTACCACGTCTGACTAAGTTTTTTGATTTATTGTAGAGATGAGGTCTCGCCAAGTTGCTCAGGTGGGTCTTGAACCCTCGGGCTCAGGCAATTCACTCACCTTGGCCTCCGAAAGTGTGGGATTACAGTCTGAGCCACCGAGCCTGGCCTTTCCTATAACTTCTTATGTTAAGTGTCTGTTCAAGCCATTTGCCCATTTTTAAGTTGGATTATTTGTTTTTCTTTTATTAAGTTATGAGAGTTCCTTGTATAATGTGAATGTAAACGCTTCATCAGTTGCGTATTTTGTAGTTCATTAGCCTTTTTATTTTTTTAGCTGTATCTTTTCAAGAGCCACACTCTTTAATCTGATGAAGTCTACCTTAAAAATTTTGTCTTTTACGGTTTATATTTTTGTTGAACCATTTAAGAAGTCTTTCCTTAACTCAATGTCACATGGGTTGGTCATTTTCTCTCTCTCTCTCTCTTTAGACATTTAATAGTTTTACCTCTTTCATGTAGGTTTCTGATCCATTTTGAAGTAACTTTTTATATGGTGTGAGGTAAAGTTTGAGGATTTTAAAATATGGATAACCAGTATGGAAATCAGTTGTTCCAGCACCATGTGTGGAAAAGATAACTTTGTTTCTATTTAATTGAGATCTTTGTAGAAGAGCAATTGATGATGTGGTTGTGGATATTTGTAGAACAGCAATTGATGATGTGATGGTGGGTCCCCTCTCCAAATTTTGGCCCAGAATATGAACTGTATACTTTTATTATATTAGATCAGGTCAGCTTCTTTGCCATTTAGAAACAGGCCTCTGCATTTGAGATGATGGTCATTGGCTCCCCACTTTTCAGTCCACCAAATTCCCTGTATCAACAATGACAGAAGGGGAGAACATGAGGTCGCTGATTTCCTAAAGAGGAGTGAGTGTGGTGGCAGCATGATGATACCGTCGGCCTTGTTGTGTCTATTTCCCTGCCATTGGGGTTGAGATTTCATCTCTAAATAATAATATTTTTTAAAAGCTCAGGTGTGGTGGCTTATGCCTGTAATTCCGGCACTTTTGGAGGCTGAGGAGGGAGGACCACTTGAGGTTAGGAGTTCAAGACCAGCCTGGGTAACACAGAGAGACCCTGTCTCTAAAATTTTTTTTTTTTTAATTAATCAGGTGTGGTGGCATGTGCCTGCAGTCTCAGTTATTCAGGAGACTGAGGCATGAGGATTGATTGAGCTCAGAAGTTTGAGGCTGCAGTGAGCTCTGATGGCATCATTGTACTTTAGCCTGAGTGACAAAGTGAGACTTTATCTCTAAATATATATATATATTAACTAAACATTTGGTTAGCACTTGCTATGAACTGGCCATCATTTTAAATGATATATATAGTCATTTAATCTTCACAAAAGACCTAGGAGGTAGGTACTATTATTGTCATCCCTATTTTCTAAATGAAGACACTGAGGAACAAAGAGAGGATAAGCATGCTCGTGGTCATTTAGTAAGTAGTCAGTGGGAGAGATGGGACTTAATCCAAGCAGTCTGGCTGCCTTAACTGTGATACCTCCACTCCCAAAGAAGACTGTGTAGAGCCTTCTGATTCTCAGTAATTCCATTGCTCATGACAGTGAATCATCCAAACCTTTAAAAAAAGAAAGTGAATGTTTTTTGTCCATCTCATTAGATTTTTTTTTTTTTTTTTTTTTTTTTGTCTTTCTGGTGGGAGAAGAGGCACAAAACATTAGCAAGCAGGAACTAGGTCTCTGCAAAGTTGCAGAGAACAACTCTTTCATACTAGGGCATTTGTGTTGCAATAACAGTCCTCTCACTTCTGGCTCTAGTCCTTTCTGTATTCTGTGAAATCAGGAAGTGACCAGAGCAAGACACTATAAATTCCCTGCCCTTTAAGATGCTGTTATATTTCTTGAGTCCTGGTAGCTTTACAATCAAACTTTCAATGTCCTTGTAATTAAAAAAATTTGTCTTAAAATTAGCTTTCTTAACTTCCTGTGTCATAGTGCTTAAAATAGCAATTTTTTTTAACTGAGTGAAGGGTCTTGTCGAGTCTTGATATCATTGAATATTTGATTTGCCCTCAAGTAGTCAGGGGTGCTTCTGTAGGCAAAACAAATCACTGACATCATCACTCTGCAATCCCATGTGAGGCTTTTTTCACCAAAAGATTGCCGCTGATGTATTTTCTCACACAGTGTACAAATAATCCATTGGTCCCAGAAGGCTGTGTGGACGTGGTCCAATGTCAACGGAACCATCATGCTATTTGGGGGTTGTGTTATCAGTTGTGTTTGTGTTGTAGATAAAGAGGCTTGTGAAAGGAAGCTATTGTATTTTGGGCTTTATTTTGAAGTAGATGAGAAAGTAAAGAAACTTACCAGAAACTAAATGTGAAGAGCATTCTCACTGATTTTAGGTGAACTGCTTTCTTACTCTGAAAAGTTAGTGTTTATATGACATTTTTGCCCTGGTTTCTTCCTTTTAGAAGCTTACAATCTGTCTATATCTAGGAAAAGAAATAATAATGGCTGCCATTTATTGAGTTCTGCTCTGTGTCAGGCACTGTGTCAGGCATTTTATTTCTGCTTTTAATAATGGCTGCCATTTATTGAGTTCTTCTCTGTGTCAGGCTCTGTGTCAGGCATTTTATTTCTAATCCTTGCAACAATGCTGCAAGGAGGGTCCTATTTTTCCCACCTTACTGTTGAAAATACAGAGGTTCAGAGAGGCTGTATTTTGCCCAGAGTGCCAAATTGTACACAGCGAATAAGCAAAGTGGTAGTTAATAGATGTAAATCAGAGTAGTTATTAAGTCCAGAAATGTTTTTAGGAAATATTTAAAAATTAAGAGATGGAAGAGTTTTTATTAAAAATCATGTAGATATAGGTATGTAGTAATAAGAAGGAATTACCTATGGAATGCAATATTTACTATCTGGGGAATGGGCCCCCTGAGACCCAATCCCCACTATTACACAATATGTCCATGTAATGAACATACAAGTGTACCCCCAAATTAAAATAAAGTGGAAATAAGTAAATAAAAATTTAAAATGTAAGATTTAATTACTCAAAAAAAAAGTGAAGGAAGAATTTGCTTACTCTGTACTATGATCTTGTGTAAGTCAGTTAACATTTGTTTCTGAGCTAAGAAAAAAGGAACATCAAAGTCTCAATGATTTAATACAACAAACATTTATTTCTTGCTAATAAAAGTCCTGATGTATATCTACAGAGTTTTCATTCAATCAGTGACTTAGGAATCCAGGGTCCCTCTCCTTTGTGGCATTATCATCTCTATGTATGACTTCCAGTGTCATCCCAGCAAGGGAAGGAAGACCATGGAGATGGCATACTGACTTTGGTCTGGAAGTGACACACATCACTTCTGTTCACTTTTCAGTGGCTAGAACTAGTCACATGACTAACCTAACTGCAAGATGGCTGGAAAGTTTTTTTCTCTCATCAGTCCTCCCATGTGCCCAGGAACTGAGAACTATTTATGAATAAGCATCAGATAGCTCTATTGTGTATTTCATAATTCAATCCTGGGCATGTTACTTAGAGAATTAACATAGTTTACAGAGAATCTTGAAATGAAAGCAAAGAATGGTTATTCGCCATGATGTGACAGACGTATGATCGTGAGCTTGTTGATTTCATATTCATGTGTAGTCTAAAACTGGAAGTAATACTTGAACTAAAACCTCTACAACACGATTGATTGACAGCATACTGACTTGTAAATACTTTGATCTAGAAGTGGCACAGTTCATCTCTGCTCACATTTCACTGGCTAGAGCTACTCACGTGATCAACCTAATTATAAGAGGGCAGTCTAATTCCCCCCCCCCCCACACACACACATTTAAAGAATAAAATATTGATTTGTCTATAATGGAACATGACCCCACTTTTGATCAATGCAACCAACTTTATTAGGTTTATCTTAATCATGTGCTGTAGTGCATATGGTACTACCACATTTCTATCAGTTGATTAATGTGTTTTAGCTTTAGGTAAAATTTGGAAAATCCTTGGCATATACATTTTATACTTTGGGAGGATTTAGTCTTCTCTATATACAGTCAGATTTGATATGACCCATTGTTCAGATTCACAGTGGTCATTTGCCCAACTCATGCATCGACTGGCTTGCAAATCCTAGTGGCATTAAAGCTGTTACTTAACTGCAGCACCAGATACTGTTGGTCAGTTTTCCCTCTTGCAAATGTTCTTGACCTTGTGTCCACAACTTTAGTCATCATCTGTGTCCTAAAGTCTTTCTGATTTCTTCCTCCAGCCCCATCCTCTCTTCTGAGTTCCTAACCTTTATATCCCATTGCCTATTTGACATTTCATTTACCTAAAATCTAACGAACATTCTTCCTTGTTTTCCCTCTTTATAAGCAGTGCTTTTATCTTCCTGGTTGCTCAGGCAAACCTATTTTTTTCTTGACATTCTTTTCTCCCCTAATTCCATCTAATTCATTATCAATTCTATCAGTTTATATTCTTTGAGATTTCTGAAATCCATCCGTTTGCCTCCACTGTTTTTCTACCATACTGGCCCAAGCTATCGTCATCTCTGACCTATAAGACTGTGATATCTGCTTTTATAGACTATGCTTATAATGATATTTTCAACATACAAATCTGGCCATGTCACCCTCTCACTTAGATTCCAGTATTCTTGAGATTAAGGTCTAAATCTTTAACAGGTTTACCAGGTACTGCAGAATCTTCCAATTCACCATGGTTGTTGCCTTACTGCATAGTCCTACAAGCTAAGACCTTGGAAATGCACCTCTTTGTCTCAAGGTCACTTCCTTAAATGCTTTTTTCATCATGATATCCTTCTACCCCCAAATCTCCTAATTCTTAACTGTACTAAATGTAAATATATTTTCTTAAATAAACCTTGTCCAGTAGAACTTTCTGCAACGATGGACATTTTCTTTTATGTAATCCAGGATGTTAGTCAGTAGTCATATGTGGCAAATTCGTACTTAGAATGCTGCTAATTGACTGAGGAGCTGAATGTTTAATTTTATTTAAATCTAATTAACTTATGTTAAAGGCTAGTGACTACTATATTGAGTGGCAGGACCTAGATATTCTGTCCCTCCTTCACCATCAGTCCAGATCTGTGTCCTTGGCCCTGCACCACATTTGTACCCATCATTTTGTTTTGATTCATGGCGGTCCTCTCTCACATGGATTACTTTATCTCAGTTCCTTCAACTAATCCAGATTCTCTTTAACTCCCAAGGGTTAGAGCAAAGCTTACAATCTTTATAAAATCTCCCTATAGTTTTATTGATCTTCCTTTTCTGGCTTTGCCCACTGTATGAATTTTCAGTTAAGACACATGAATGAATGAATGATTTGGCAAAAACTTTCACACATAGTCATTTGCTGTATTTTAGTTTATCTTGTTGTATTTTTCTTTTCTTTTTTATTTTTATTTTTTGAGCTGGAGTCCTCTCTGTTACTCAGGTTGGAGTGCAGTGGCATGCTTATGGCCACTGCACCCTCGACCTGCTGGGCTCAGGGGATCCATCTGCCTCAGCCTTCTAAGTAGCTGGAGCTACAGGCACACCACCACGGCTACTTTATTGATTGATTGATTGATTGACTGATTGATTGTAGAGACGAGGTCTCACCAAGTTGCCCAGGCTGGTCTCGAACCTCTGGGCTCCGGCAGTCCTCTCACCTCAGCCTCCCAAAGTGCTGGGATTATAGGCATGAGCCACCGCGCCTGGCTTTGTTGTGTTTTTCATATGAATTTACTCCCATCCCCTCAACCAATTTTATCTATCTGTGACCAGGAAAGTATCTTATATAATTTTGTATTTCTCCTGACACCAAGCAGATGGTGTAGCCCCAGAGAATTCCCATTGAATGCTCTGCTGATGGACTGATTGATTGCAAAAGAAACACAGATCTGTTCCTTTGATTCTCTGTCATGATTATTCAATCACTCTTACAAGTATTTGTGCAATGTTTATGAGATTCATTTGGGTAAACTGTGAAGGGTAGACTATCATCATGGATGCAAGGAATAAGACTGGATAAAAAGAAGGATCATGAATATCTTATAAACTGTAATCTTATAAAGGTATGCTGAATTCTAGAGATAGTGGTGAGGGTTTGTGAGGAAGTTTTGAAAATAGCTGAGAGAATCCCTTTCCTATTTCCTTCTTATGGAAGGAAACCTCTGAAATGCTGGATTTTGCACAGAATTGAGAGGCAGGAAAGTGGTTTCTTAGAAAGAGAAACTTGAACAAAGGTCGCAGAGGAAGGATCAGGTGAGTGTGGTCAACCAGGTGATTTTTCATCAGTATTCTACAATGTTCACTTTAGGGTCATGAGTTAAGAATTTTGGTCATCTGTTTTTGAAAGGATTCTAAAACGTAGCAAAGGGCAGTGCACGGGGGTTCATGCCTGTAATGCCAGCACTTTGGGAGGCCAAGGCAAGAGAATAGCTTAAGCCCAGGAGTTCGAGACCAGCCTGACCAATATAGTGAACCCTAGTCTCTACCAAAAAAAAAAAAATACAAAAATCAGCAAAGCATGGTGGTGCACACCTGTAGTCCCAGAAGGAGGATCATCTGAGACCAGGAGGTCAAGTCTATGGTGAACCGTGATCACGCCAATGCACTCCAGCCTTGAGTAACAGAGTGAAACCCTGACTCAATAAATAAATAAATAATAGATAGATAAAAAGTGTAAATAAAGTAGCAAAGTGTGTTCTATTTGCACTATACATGCTATTAACTAACTCTTGACCCAGCTTCTTCAGGTATAATACTAAACTTAGAGTTTCCCCCAAAACCTGCTTTTACACTATTGTGACGATTAAAATATTTAGAGAAGGGCACTGATCTGGTCAAACTATTACTATATAATAGTATTTATACACATCTATAGTACTCACTATGAAGGCACTACTCTTAGTACTTTATTAACCCATTCAATTCTTCTAGTTACTCTAAGTAGACATTTTACAGCTGAAGGAAGTATAGCATTTTCCTCCTTTTACACAGGTAGCAGGCAAAAGAGCTGAAACATGACCCCAGACAGTCTTGTTTTCGAAACCACGCTCCCAACCATGCTATACATTGCTTTATGCTGTGCTATGAGGCCTCTTTGAATTTGTGTTTTGTCAATTCAGAATTTATGACATTTGCAAGAAGTGTTGGAGAACATAGAAAACAGAAGTGATGTTTTATGTGTCTGAGGAAATGGTTTCTAGTACCTCAGACCCTTTAGGAATACCTGTGGACCTATGAATAGTATACAACACACACATGTCTTTTCTGTTGCATGTGGCTCTCAGGAAGCAGGTGACATGTGAGTTCTGTAAAGAAATGGTAACTATTTTCACTGTAATTGAACATGTATTACCAAAATATAAAATTTTCTTTCTGATGAGAGGATAAAATAGTTAGAATGCACAATTTATTATTATTATTATTGCATATACTATTATTATGGCCCACTTGTTTTAATTTTGGTGACTTATATTTTGCAGAAATTCCGCAGTGCTTCAGTTGGGGCTGAGGAGTATATGTATGACCAGACATCAAGGTAGGTTACCAGGAGATGCATCCCTAGAAACTGATTAACTGATAACATTTTGAATAAATGTACTGTCAAGTTATACTTTTAAACTATAGGGTTTTTTTTTAAGTTAAGATCTTACTCTGTTGCCAGGCTGTAGTACAGTGGCACGATCATGGCCCACTGCAGCCTCAATCTCCTGGGCTCTGGCTATTCTTCTGCCTCAGCCTCCGAGGACTACAGGTACATGCCACCTTGCCTGTATGATCTTTTTAGATGCAGGGTCTCACTATGTTACCCAGGCTGGTCTCAAACTCTTGGGCTCAAGCAATCTCCCCATCTCGGTCTCCCAAAGTGCTGGGGTTACAAGCATGAGCTACTGCATCCAGTCTTTTTTATACATTTTTATGGATCAATTTAATTTATTTGCCTTCAATTATTTTCTCCATACAGATGACTTTTACATCATTGTTTCCATTCTTGATCAATTTTGGGGGGCCTCTACCCTTTTTCTTCCTTCTGGAGACTAGATATTCCTTCTTAGGTGTTTCCCTGAACTCCATATTTATATGCCTCCAACTGGCAGCTGCAACAAGAACTCTTTATCTTTCTTTTCCTCTTCTTTCTCTTCTCCTCCACTGTTTTGCATCTGGTCTTCTGCTTTTATTTCCTATTGTGGCTGATGATGTACCCTATCTCTGAGCCATCCCAGCTAGAGGTGTCAGGGTCTGCCTTCCTTCCTGTTGTATGTTCCCAGCACTCATCAAGTGCTGACTTGTCTGTTCTCCCTGTTTCCTCCCTTCCAACTTACACTGGTCAACTATCTTATAAGCTATTGCAATAAGACTGACCTCCCTGCCAACACTTCTCTTCTGTTCCCCTTTGCACAAAGCTGGCTACCAGCTCTCATACACTCAGGCGCCTTCCTTATGCCAACAATGCAAGTAGGATTGGGGATAAGATACAGCTTCCGGCTGGGCATGGTGGTTCACACCTGTAATCTCAGCACTTTGGAAGGCCGAGGCAAGAGGATTGCCTGAGCCCATGGGTTTGAGGCCAACCTGGGCAACCAGGCAAGACCTTATCTCTACAATAAGCCAAGAAATTAGCTAGGCATTGTAGTATGCACTTGTAGTTCCAGCTACTTGGAAGGCTGAGGCAGAAGGATCACCTGAGCCCAGCAGGTCAAGGCTGCCATGGTCATGAGTGTGCCACTGCACTCCATCCTGGGTGACAGAGTGAAACTCCAACTTAAATATGTGTGTGTATGTGTGTGTGTGTGTGTGTGTGTGTGTGTATGTGTATCTTCTTATGAAAGGCCATTAGACTTTTGGAGGAGACAAATATGATGACAGACAAATTGCAATACATTTGCCAAGTGATGAATCCTGCCATGGAGGTACATAAGCAGAAATATGAGTGGACCTATGGGCCTGGATGTGTGTGACAGTCTTGAGGGGGTGAGGGGCAGGGGGGAAATCTTCACAGAAAGTGACACTTGAGCCAGATTTTTAAGTCTTAGCAGTGGGTGTTTCCTAAGGAAAGAAGGAAAATTAAAAACATTCTAGGTAGAGGGTTCATGTTTAAAGGTCTTGGTTGTGATCTTGCCCAAAGGCAGCATGGCAACAAATGAATTATCTCTCCCATTTATGAAACTTACCAATGATTCTGCCATTTCAGACAGAATTAAATACACATCCCTTGTGAAGCTGGTCAGGGCCCTCTTTATCCTGATCCCTCTTTACTTTAGACTCTGTCTCGCATCCTGTTTTTTGCCCCTTTGTGTTCACATTTATGACCCTCCTCCATTCTCTCTGTTCCCACTTACAGTCTTCCAGATGTGTCTTGGGTCTTGCTCAACCCCAGGCTTTTCCGTCAGCCTCCCCAGATCATCTTGGTTAGAATTTCGTGTATGTTGCGGGGATGGGGAGAGAAAGAGGGAGACAGGGCAGACAGAATTCCAAATTGCCTTCTAAAATGTGGAAATACGGATGGAATTTGTATGCAGTAAACTCGGAGCACTGTGTCATCAGCTGTCAGGCCAGTGGAAGGAGCAGTGACTTGCTCTGGTTTCTCTCTATGCTGCTGCTGTTGTCCAGGGAGTGATCCAGTCTCTAAGCTTCTTTTCAGCTGTGAATGAGGAAGGTGGGCTGGATCCTGGCTTCCTAGCCTGTTATGGATTGACTGGGGGACACTAATCCCTGAAATTCTATTGAAAATCATTTATGTTCATATGTGCCTTTTTCTGGGAAAAAAAGTTCACAGCTTTCTTCTTGTTTGTTTGTTTCTTTTCTTTTTTTTTGAGTTGGGGTCTCACTCTTTTGCCCAAGCTGGAGTGCAGTGACACAATCACAGCTCACCACAGCCTCAATCTTCTGGGTTCATGTGATCCTTCTTCTGCCTGAGCCTTCGGAGTAGCTGAGACTATAGGAGCATACCACCACACCCAGCTAATTGTTTAAAAAAATTTTTGTAGAGATGAGGTCTCACTGTGTTGCCCAGGCTGGTCTTGAACTTCTAGGCTCAAGCTATCCTCCTGCTTTGACCTCCCAAAGTAGTGGGATTATAGGTGTGAGCCACCATACCCAGGTTTTATCCATGTTTTTAAAGCAGTCTGTGCCCTAGATAAGATGCACGGTGATTTCTAATAACTTGTCCAGGTCTAAAATGTTATGATTTGGTGGTACTATATAGGAATTGTATTTCTAGGCCAAATGACAATGGAATCAGTTCTGTCTTAAATTATGCATCTCCTACCTTGTTCTAAGACATATTCAGAAAATTTCTTAAATTATTAGCTTAAGATTTTTATCATATAAAAGAATATTATTTTGCCCTTCAAATTTTTCTCATTATAAACATTAAAAAGTAAATAGAGCATTGCAAAAATATTTAACATAGAAAGCAAAAGCTTCTCATAATCCTGTAAAGAGACTATTTTAAAAGACAGTATTTGAACCATCCTTGCACCCAGCTTTTCAAAGACTACGAAATGAAAGAGCCAAAAAAATAAACCCAGTGGAAAGGTTCTGATGACCCAGAAAATACACAATGTGTTCATCATTGAATTGTTACTGTGTGCCATCCTGCAGGGCAGTGGAAATAAAATATTTCTGAATGAACATGTTAACAAAGAATGATTGTGATTCACATCTGTTGTGCTCATTTTAAACAATTGATGTATTCTTCAAAATTGGGAAAAGTCAGTGTTTTGTTTTGTAAATTATATCATATTTTTAATATATTAGGGATACTATTTAGAGCAGAGATATGCACACATTGTCTGAAATGAGCTAGGTAGTAAAAATTTTAGATTTGACAGGCTACTGTCTCTATCACAACTATTTAACATGCTACTATAGTACAAAAGAAGTCACAGACAATTCACAAACAAATGAGTGTAGCTTGTTCCAATAAAACTTTATTTATAAAAATAGGCAATGAGCCGGATTTGGTCCATGGAGCGTCATTTGCAAACCTCTGATTTAGAGCAACCCTGCCAAGAGTTTTTATGTAGACTTAAAAACAAGAAACAAAAGACAAAAACACTCCATGTTATTAGGGAACTAGATTCTCAGTAGTGAATATATGAGTCTTGGATTTTCATTTTTTGAAATGTTTTAGTGTGGGACATGGCTATTTGTGGGATCTTGGTCAGACACAAAGAAGGTTAGGCGGATACAAGACTTGAACAAAAGCATTCATGCATTCATTTTGCTGTTATGGTAACAGTGGCAAATTCCATCAATCCTTAAGCTTCAGGCATTACCTGATGGCCAACTGAGAGCTACCAGAGGTTCTCCAGGCACAAAATTCTACAATTATCCAGGCACGTCATGGACTTTCTCCTCTTCCATGGTTTATGGGCCACTATTAGAAACATTACATGCATTGTACTAGCAATGACCTTTGGTCTGATATCATCCCTTTTTGCCATATGCTGTGTTTTGTCTCTAAAATAGGGTAAACACTGGTTAATATTCATACAAAATGCTATTGTTGTGAAATTGGTCAAAAAACCAGAAACATTCATGGGAGGGAATCTGATCACTGTTTGTTCTCTATTCACAGTGGTACATTTCAGTACACCCTGGAAGCCACCAAATCTCTCCGTCAGAAGCAGGGGGAGGGCCCCATGACCTACCTCAACAAAGGACAATTCTATGCTATCACACTCAGCGAGACTGGTGACAACAAGTGCTTCCGACACCCCATCAGCAAAGTCAGGGTATGGGCCACGTTTCTCAAAGTACAGAAGGGCAGATGAATGGAGTTGCTACCTCATGGCCTTGTGGAATGGCAGGGAGGGGGAAAAAACTTCAAATTAAAAAATTGTAAAACAAACGTCAGAGAGTTGGGGCAACATGACTTATTGGCTTGTAGTTTATCATTTTAATCAGTAACCAATAAATCCCAGGGAAGGGACATGGTTGGAACACACTTCCTGACGGCATCCAAGAAATTTTCTCTTCTTCACGCACTGCTTGTGTCTACTTAGATATTGTTGTTTTCAGTTGATCTCAGTTTTTCAAGTAAGCGGCTGTAAGTCAGAACATACCTGTGGGTGAGAAAGATCTGTTGTTCTAGTCTGCATAGGAGAATGTGATTCATTCTGAATTCCTAGCCCTTTATAAGCTAGTTGAAAAATTTCCTGCAGCCCAGCATCTTCTCAGAGTTCAAGGGATGAGGCGTGATCCCTGCCGAGAATACTTTGGAGGAATTTTCAGATTTCTGAGTATTAGTTCTATTTGTGGGAAATGAAACTGGAGCCCTTGCTCACTGCTCTGGAAGCCTGCCAGCTTCTGGTGTTCTAGCTCCTGCCAAGGAGGGAGGGAACTGGTAATCCCTCTCTGTTGAGAAGGAAAATTATAGCAGAGCTCTGAAAAGAGGCTGGAGAAGTTTCCTGGTTGGCTGTAAAATTATTTATGCTGCTGGGTCCATGGAGCCCAACCCACCTTATTGTAGTCATAGCTCCCTCCTCCTAATCTCTTCAGAACACTAAGATGGGAGCATCATGGGGTGCCTAGAATGGACACAGCCTGAGTGTACCCCCAGCACAGGTGCGGAAAATACCATGCAAGGCTGAGCCTGTTGCAGAGAGAAATTGCCCAGTGTACTGTGTGCCCACCAGTATGTTCACAGAATTAGTATGTTCCAGTGCTCTGGTCAAGACTGTGATGGAGGACATGCCATAATAATAATAACAATAGCAAAAAATAAGAGCCCTACAATAACAACTAATATTATTGAATATCTTCTATGTGCCAACACCAAGGGTGACCTTGTAATTTATCAGCATTTATGTCTGAGAATAGCGTTTAATTCCAAGTCGAAGCATGTAAGGTGTGGTCATAACAGTTTCAAATTACTTTGTTTTTTTATCACCAAAGAAATATACTTTCATACCAAGAATATGCCGTTATTTATGCTAATTTAGTCATTTGTCAGGAAACAAATTTTTTAGATGTTGTTTTTATTTGGGGATAGAAATAAACACCAGGAAATCACACAGTAAACTTTTACCTATACATGGAAAATTTGGAAGAAGTGGGAGAGGGAAGAACGAGGAGCTGACTGGGCTCATAGTTGTACCAGCACAGAGACTGGTTCCCTTGGTTGTCATGTGTCCTTGCCTTTGAAGGTCATGCTGCTTGTGATTTGAATAATATGGAGACACATTTCTAAACTAGTGTTTCTGACAAACATCTGCTTTCTGGCATTAAAAAAAAATGTTTACACTTACTTTAGGAATGAGCCAGGTTTTGAACTGAGTCGGCCACCATCATGTGTTTGCTGTCTGTTATTTGTCAGGTGTGAGGGTGAACACCAGACACTGTTTCTGTCCTTGTTGAGTTTGAAGTCAATTGGGAAGACATTACCATTGGCTGAATAACTGTAACTAAGTAACGACTGCCAATGTGTAAACTGCTACAAAGGAGAAGTTCCTAGAGAATGAGAGTCTGTGAAATATTCTTATGATCTAGTAGGAAAGTGTCTAAGAAGTATTTTGGTTATGGGGTGAGAAGAAGAGTATTCCTGATACTGCTTTAAAAATTTTTTTCTATTTTGAGGGAAGGGTGTTTTCAATATGGTCTGTATTTTATAAACGATAGTGAGATAACGTGTAGTTTAATGAGACTGTGTGTAATGTAGAACTGAAAGGGGTTTTGGATTCTTATTTCTGTGAGATATAATTAGTTTCTCAAGCTCATCTTAAAGTAAGTTCACATCATATTTAAATAGATATCATAGTTGCCCTTGCTTTTTTTTTCTTTTTCTTTTTTGGTGTAGGAACTATCTAGTTTGGATCTATGTTCACCAATATAAATTTGTTTTTTAGCATTTCCCTCATTTCCTTAGCATTTCTCTAATTATTTCTGATATTCGAGCCTAAAACAACTAGGCCAAAAATGGATGTGTGCTTCTTTACAAATAGGGCCAAATTCTATGTTTAAGTATGTCGAATTTCAAAAGTATATTTGTTTCCAATATAAGAACATTTTTTTTTTTTTTGGTTTTCCCACTGACTTCACAAAATAATAAATTTACTGAGCATTGATTAATCTGGTTGTTTATAACCTCCTGGTAAAACTGATGTAGGACTTTTTTTTCTCTATGTTATTTTCGTTTTCCAGTCATGTTTTAAGTAGGTCCATTGTAAAACAAAACAGACCATACAAGCACACTTGTCTGGGCTTTTGTAAAGCAAGAAAAACAGCACTGCAGAATCATACCTCTGGTAGAACTTCCAGAACTGGAGACTGAGGCAACAGGGGCACTGAACAGAAAGTAAGCTCCCCGGTTCTCCCCCCTGCAGAGCGTGGTGATGGTGGTCTTCAGCGAAGACAAGAACCGAGACGAGCAGCTAAAGTACTGGAAGTACTGGCACTCCCGGCAGCACACGGCCAAGCAGCGTGTCCTTGACATTGGTGAGTTGACCTTGACTTCTCTGCACACTCCGTGATCAACTGACATGCTGTCTCGGAGCCAAGGCGAGCCCAGCACAGTCATCACAGCTAGAGAACCATGGCTCTTGTGATGTGCCAGGCATTGGTCTATGTGCTTTTCCTGTGTTTATACCTTGAGTACAAGCCAGGCTGAGAAATCAAAATCAGGCTAAGCCGAGAGCAGAGCATTTTCTGTTCCATGAAAGTCAACTGTGTCTCACATGATAATAGTAATACATTTAGATTTGCAATGACTATTTCAGTTTGGAAAACATGTTTCTGTGCCCTTCCTATTTGGGCCTAATAAGTACTCAGCTGACAGGATGAACCCTTAACCCTGTGTCGTGAATAAAATCAAGCTTGTGCGGCTTTCAGTCACTTGCCAAAGGTCACGTGACTGCACGGTGGCTTTCTAGTTCTCCGTCCCATGTTCCTTTGACTCCAGCACATGCCTAGTGCATGCAGTGCCAGGTGGTCAGGAGCATGAACTGTATGAGAGACCTTCCTGTCAATAGAGAAGGACTGAATCTGCTGGGAGTCTGCATACTCCTAAACATGATGCCTGTGCTCTAGAGACCAGTACCCCCTGGACCGCATGTCACTCAGGGTCTAGTCTAGAAGGCAGAGCCCTTGCCTAGTAGTACGTTGGAGGGAATTCATTGCCAAGGTTGGAAAGGCTGAAGGCACCATGAAGCAATCCAGCTATTACCTGCAGGGCTGGAGAGTCCAAGGCAGGAGGAGGTGGGTGTTGAAGGGGCCACCCAGCAGGAGCTAGGGCCACAGAGAGAGCCGCTTTCCAGTGGGAGGTGGGACCACAGAGGACTCGCTGCCAGAGATACTCTCAGTGCCAAGAGGGAGGAGGAAAAATGCCATGGCTTTTCTCAACTCCTGACCTCTTGCCAGTGCTTTCCATTGGCAGGATTTAATCCCAAAACAGAGGGCACATAACCCTGGAAAATGGAGTTTGCAGAAATCAACCTCTGAGATACAGAGCAAAGTAGGGAAAGTCAGGGAATGGAGCTTAAAGTTTCCAAAAGCACATAAAAACACTGACAGTAATGTATGTGTTTCTCAGTAATTTTAGCACTTTATTCTACATGCTGTTTCCATGAGAAATAAGGCATTTTCCATTTATAGACTTTATCACCTCATTTTGCAGAGGCTGCAGTCCCAATGAGTGTAAGCAAAGTGAAGGCTTCCATCATGTCGGGTATCAGAAGGTATTACTGAGTCGTTAAAAGGATGTTTGCTCTGATATACACGCCAATGAGGGTTCTCAGCCTTTGCGTTTCACCCTAGCTAGGGCCCTTTGACCCATGGCAGAGAGTTTAGTAACTAGTTTGGGGTTAGAGACTTACTGTAGAATATATTGAAACTAGTTACTGGTTTGTCTTGCAATGTGGTCAAGCCACTCCTCACCCCCATCATATACACACCACCATTCTATTCACTAGTCAAGCATATTTATTTAATAAAGGAGGGAATTGAGGGCTAGAAAGGGTCACTGACTCACCCTCCCAAGTGACTTGGCCTCGGATAATTAGCGCTAAGAGCTGGGATAAAAAGTCGTAACCTCAGTTGATAAACTAAACCCCCAAGACCAGCAGACTAGCACAATGGGCTTAGAGATACTTGCCTTAACCTGCTTGGTTAAATCTACATGGAGCAGAGGAACAATTTTATTTTATTTGAAAAGTTAGCCTTATAATTATTACCCAAGAAAACGAGAGGAGCAATTAGATAGAAATATGGACTAGGTCCAAATAAGGCAAATCATAAAAGCATTTTACTGGCATACTTGTTGATGCAACTTTGATATCGTTGCAGGGTTTACTTTTCTAAGACCAGAATTATTTCTCAGATCTTGTCAGACTTTAAGTCTTATCTCTCTTCTCTATGACCTTCTCCTACCTTCCAACTTTTCTGACTAAACACACGTGTGAGTGCACACACATGCACACACATACACACACACATGCTTTATCTTTGAGATTTGTAATATTTACTAAGTGGCTTCATGGGTAGCCACTAGGTTACTTGTATTCAGCCCAAGACCAAGTTGTTAAATCAGTGCTTTAGCTGCAAATGAAACATGTATTTTCTGAGCACAGTTTCTGCTGTGAATCTTAACCTGACAACTGTTCATACAGAGTGAGGAAATATGCAAAAATCTCATATAATTCATTCTTCTACTAGATTAAAAAAAAAAAAAACAAACAAAACCATGTGCTCCTCTACCAGTGGGTTGTAAACACTATTTCCAATATTAAAAATTACTGATGGTGCAATGCACATATGTCTTTGTGTCACATGCATGGTGACTCTGGAGTGCCATATTGAGAAGGTTTCTGCGGCCACCCCTTCTCTTCCCCAGGGATATCTGGAGGGCTATCAGTGCCTGTAGGAAGTGAAGGAAGGCAGAGGGTACATGAGTTAAACATTTACCAGTTTGGGTTGAGAACCTTCTAATGGCCTAAAAAATAAAGGGATGAATCCAAAGTTATTTCATACATTTCTTTTTCAAAACCTCTGTGAAGTTGGCAGTTAAAGTCAGAGCTCAAAAGTCACAGTTCCCAAGCCTCCACCAGCATCTGTGGGCCAAGAGTTCAACCGAAGTGGGCCAAGTAGTGACCATGAAATAGGAGTGAGAGACTGAGATGAGGCCCCTGTAATTAAAGCAGGGTTTTTAAAAAATTGATATTATATAATTATTGTGTAATTGTACATACTTATGGGGTACATGTGGTGTTTTAAAACATGCATAATATATAATGATCAAATCAGGGTATTTAGGATATCTGTCACTTCAAAACATTTATCATTGTGTCGGGAATATTTCAAATCTTCTAGCTGTACAATAACTTTTGAAATATGCATTTTATGTATTGTTTGTTTGTTTGAGAAATCTTACTCTGTCGTCCAGGCTGGAGTGCATGGCATGATCATGGCTCTCCGCAGCCTTGACTCCCTAGGCTCAGGCAATCCTGCCTCAGCCTCCCAAGTAACTGGAACTACAGACATGGGCCACCATGCTCAGTTTTTTTTGTTTTTTCTTAACATTTCTTTAGAGATGGAGTCTTGCTATGTTGCCCAGGCTGGTCTTGAACTCCTGGGTTTATGCAATTCTCTCACTTTGGCCTCCCAAAGTGTTGGGATTACAGGTGTGAGCCACTACTCTTGACTAGAAATATACAATACATTATGGTTAACTATAGTCACTTAACTCTGCTGTCCAGCACTGGAACTTATTCCTTCTGTCTAACTGCATTATTTGTACCCATTAACCAACCTCTCTTCATCCTGTCCCACCCCATCCCCTTCCTAGCCTTTGGTAATCATCATTCTGCTCTCTGTCTCTGTGAGATCAACTCTGTAAACTCCCACATGTGAGTGAGAACATAAAGCTGGGGTTCTTAACCGGTTGTCCTTGGAGTCTGGCAGGCTTTAGGGGACCTTGAAACTCCAGATTTTGCACAATACAATTTGGTGTGTACGTGCATGCACACTTTTTCATCTCTCTTTCCAGAGGTGCCTGGGATGACTAGGCCTGCCTCCTGTACCCACCTCTCCAGCTGCACACCAAGCCTCCGCCCACAGAGGTTCCACCTCCATTGCATCATTCCTTTGCTCTGTGTCCCCACAGTACTCACGCTCAAGGATGTGTGTGGTCCCTTGCATCCTCTAATAATGATGACTGGCAAACATTCTTGCATCTTTTCTTTATTTTATATATAAACATATTACAGAGATGAGGTTTTGCTATGTTGCCCAGGCTGGTCTCAAACTTCTGGGCTCAAGCAACCCTCCTGCCTCAGCCTCCCAAAGTGCTGGGATTACAGGTGTGAGCTGCCACACCCAGCCACTTGCGTCTTTTCTTACAGAGCCATATCTCACTTGGACTAGGTGGTCAGTGGTTCTTTGAGACTGCCCTTCATCCTTATGCTCACTCCTCAGAGCTGCCCCTCAGTGTGCTGGCTGGTGTACTGGCTCCCTGGGGACAGAGAGCCCCCCAGTGTCCCCATGGAGCCATGTCTGTGGGTTACTATGAAGGACAGTGGGATACTGAAGCCTGGGACAGAGACAGGAGGCTGCTTCTCAGAGTGCTTGGAGCTCCTGTCCTCAAGGCTTCCCATGGCCTGAGTAGAGTCCCCATGGATAGTTACACAGTTTGACCCTCAGCTCTTTCAAGCCTTATCACAGAGGACTTCCCTGACCTCTCTTAAATGGTACCCCCTCCTCCATCACTCTATCCCTCTTCCTTGTATTTTACTTCAGAGTACTTAGCACCACCTGACATGTTTATGTATATAAGTTTCTATTTCTTATTGCCTTTTCCATCCTACTAGAAAATAAACTGTACAAGATGAGAGACTTACCTGTTTTGTTCTGTCCCCTAACGTTAGTGCTCAGCTCAGGGCCTGAGACATAACAAGAGATCAAAATATTTCATGAATGAATGACTGAATAAGTGAACGTGTGCATGAAATTGTCATTATATAGGCAGAAGACAGGCCTCTTGAAGGAGTGGATTGGATTGTATTTTAACAATAGCTGTCATGTGTTCATTGCCTCCGATGTGCCAGGCTCTTTTTATATATCCCACGTCAACATTTTTTTTGTATCCTCAAAACAACCCGTTTTGTTATTTAAAAGGTGAGTTGGGCCAGGCGCAGTGGCTCACACCTGTAATCCCAGAACTTTGAAAGGCCGAGGCAGGAGGATTGCTTGAGCTCAGGAATTTGAAACCAACCTGGGCAACATAGTGAGAACTTATCTCCACAAAAAAGTAAAAAAAAAAAAAAAAAAGTTAGCCACGCTGGTGGCACACACCTATAGTCCCAGCTACTAGGGAGGCTGAGGCGGAAAGATTACCTGAGCTCAGGAGATTGAGGCTGTGATGAGCCATGATCGTGCCAATACACTACAGCCTGGATAATAGAGTGAGACTCTGACTGAACAGAAAAGGGTTAAGAATCTCAGCC